TACCGAGATCTCGCGAAATTGTAATTCTTAATCCCTCGAAGTAACGATCTCGATTCTCGATCAATAAGCAGTTTCATCACGATGTTTACTTGCTCGGTCCAACGGGGATTGAATTTACGATACGTAAATTACAATAGGAAAATTGGGCGTTTAACAGTACGTTAATTGCATAATTTAATTAATGACGTCGGTATCCGTAAATATCTTATCGAGTTTCTTGCTATGTTTATGTAAAGGCGTCATTAACGTATGAAACCTTAATGCTAGGTGCGATAAAATTCTTTTTCATTGTAGTAATTAATGACGTTCGTTGTTGTACAAAGACATTTAAGAACTACTTTCAATAACCTTTTAGTTTTATAATTGAAATGACCCGTATTTGCTGTTAATATTTTTTTCTAAACAACAAATGTTTTTGTAAGTGGTATGAATCGCATCATCTTCATGGCTGGAAGTCTTCCAGGGTACGCTACACTAGACATTTTCTTTTGCGAACTAGCGAACTGTGAAGTCGACTCCCGGTTGGGGTATTCCCTGGGAAATACGATCTCCAATTGTTTAAAATGAGAGCATACTCCTCCTTCAAAGGCCGGCATCGCACCCACTAACATGGGTGTCCATTGGCTACCGTGACTCTTTATAGGCATCCCGTAGGTTCGTTTGGCCTATCCTTTAATATTGCCAAAATTCAAGACCAATAAAGATTATAACGATCACAAATTCGAAATAACATCATTGTTTTTAAACGATTCTGTTTTCATTTTTGCGACGCAACAATTGCAACGCAATCCTAGCATAAAACCATTGTTTTGCCGCTATTTGTTTGATAAATGATCACGTTTTGTGTATTCAAAACGATAGGATTAAAGGTCACAATAATATTTCTCAGTAATGTGTTAATTGCACTTTATATCCAGAACAAAAACATTTACAATCCGTTTAATATTGGAGATAAAATTACCTCAAAATCTAAGCAAAATTTTATTGATTATTAACGTACTATTTAACTTTGTAAATATTCAATCAAAAGCCGTGACAACTGCCGTTTGATTCCTTTCATTTGAAAAAAAAATAAACCTCACAGAAAACAGATCACATGTATGGTTGTAGAATCAGGCAGGACACACAGTTTATAGATCTATGGACCGAGTCAAGTTCAGAGACTAAACGAACTAACTCTCCCAGTCCCTTTTGTCAAAAAGTATCTACCAAGTGGAACCAGTACTTTCGTAGCGCGTATAGAAGTAATTAAGTAAATATTATACTTCCGTAACTTCACTAACATACATATAGCTACAGTGAACAAAACCAGACATAAGCATATTTACTAATTATCCCGTCGTACCTTTAACAATATTAGCTATATCTTCATGGCCATAGATCAAACACGTGTAAATTAAATACATTATCATAATTTACTTATGGTATTTAATTGGACAGTGTCTAGGGATTTCGCGCCAAAGTTCACGTATTGATTGATATCCGATGGGTTCAAAGTCCGATTTCTCATTGGCAAATCACGATTCAAGCGTTAATAAAATATAGTTGATTGACAGCCGATTCGTTCTAGTTTTAGAATTAGATTTTATAAAAATTATACTTATTTGTTTTGATACCACGCATGTATTGTTACTGTCATAACACTAACTATGACTATGTCAAAAATGTATTGGATTTTGCAAATGAGAGCCATCTTTCTTAGCGCATATAGGTATATAGTTATGATATACTTACTTAATACTTCTTGTACCGAATCGACTTAGTTCGCGTGGACACAAAAAATAATGGAATGTCTTATGTCATCTGTCACACAGGAATAATGTAGCAGCCAAGCAACCAAATTAGAATTGAGTAATTTAAGATTTAAAAAAAAATGAATTTAGGGTTAGAACGTTACCTAGTCGCACAGGGATGCATGAACTAAAATATGAAGGCGTAAACAAGAAAGAAGTACTTTTAATTGTATCCCCGAATATTATAAACATTTAGTTTAAGTAAAAAAAATATTGGTACTAACAAAAATAAAAGGCCAACCCAGAACTAATTTTTGTCACTATTGAGTTAACCCTGGCTGTTCATTGACTTTCTGTCTATGTGTGCATTTAATGCTCGCTCGTACGTGAAGGAAAACATCGTGAGGAAACCTTGCCTTGGACCCCAATAGTCGACGTGTGTCTGACACAGAATGACCTACCTGTCAATGAAGAAAAATAAATGATCAAGAAACGGATACAGAAATGTGGAATTTTTTTCGAGTTAACCATAATTGTTGCCGATGCTTTGACAATATTTTAGCTTTTTTAATTTGTACACAAATTACAAATTTCAAAATACTGAAAACGTTAAGGAAAACGCTCTGATGAAATCAAATAGTCCATGAACCATTCTGTTTTATTTAAAATTTTAAATGTACTCACGACTATAGTTGTATTGTACTTGTTTGTTTATTATAAGGAAAATCGTTTTAAATTAAAAATTGTTCCTAAACATCTCAATAAGGCAAAGAAAACAAAAAATAATAAAATAATATGGTTATGTATATTATTCGAAAATGCATTTCGATTCAGCGTTTTATCATTATAGCTTATTTAGATTTAAACAGTCTATGAAGTTAACAGTTAGATTTAAATACAAAATTAAAATTTTAAAATTATGACAAACCGTTGTAATCGGGTGAAGTGCTTTTTTAAATGAATTTATCTTTGACATTTGCCAAACAAGTTGGTGCAAAAACTATTTTAGGAACGAAGTCTAATATCCAAGCCACAAAAGAGTCAAGGACACGTATTAAAATGTTTCATTTATAAAAAGTTATTACAGCTGGCAAGCATGAAGAGTATAAAAGATTTTTAATTAAGAACTTCTAAAAATATGTTTGAGTCATATTGGTTACGAAGGTAGTGAAGGCCTCCGTCACTTCCGAGTTCAAACATGTTAACCTGAGTGTATACAGTTTATGGAAATTCAGTATTACTATAAATGTTTTTTTATTCGTTTCCTGTATAGAATACTGGCCGTGCTCTGCGTTTATTCGGTCGTAATGTTATATAACTTATAGTTTCAATTAAAAGACCAACATAAATGATAAATAATAACAAACTACACTCGGCGTCAAAAAAATCGCACCTTTCCTAAAATTCGTGTCAAGCGATTATAACTCCGAAGATCCTTCCTGTACCCTATCATTATTAGTATCATTTGAAAGTTAATGTAATCCCTTATTTGAAAACAGTAGGAAATTGGCCACCACCCCCATAGAAAAAGAAAATTCTGGGAAAATGTGAAACAATGTGTATTCTGATCAAAATTACAAATAAAAGGAACAATACAAAAATTAAAAATAAACAATGACAATCCTTAAAAATTAGTCTTACAACCTAGTGTTGCCTCCTCTATCCCTCCGACCAGCTTCCAAGCGGTCAGTCATGGACCTGATGAGCGTCACGACGTGTTCATGGGGAATGTTGTCCCTTTCCTCGATGACGGCATCTCGAAGCTCATCGAGAGTGGCAGGAGCTGGATTACGGACCCGAACTCGCCGTTTCAACTCGTCCCAGAGGTGCTCGATAGGATTGAGGTCGGGGCTTCTTGCTGGCCAGTCCATAACCTTGATGCCAACTCGACGTAGGTAGTCCTCGACAATCAAGGCTGTGTGGCACCGGGCGTAGTCGTGCATGAACTCGAAGTTGGCGCCGACAAAACCTACACATGGGACCACATGCTCCTCCAAAACTTCGGTGATATACCGGTGGGCAGTCAGAGACCCCTGGCCGCGACTTTCTCCGGCTCTGGAGACGCACACGAGGTCTGTCTTGCCGTCGATAGAAATACCGCCCTAGAACATGCAGGATCCTCCTCCATACCCGACGGTTTCCACGGGGCAGGCTGGTGTGAAACGCTCCCCTGGCCGCCTGTAGACTCTCTTACGCATGTTGTTGGTGTACACGTACACTTGGGTTTCGTCGGAGAACAGGACATTCCTCCAATGGTCGAATGTCCACGGCACGTGCGTTTCATAAAATCGCTTCCTTTTCGTCCGGTGGATGGTAGTCAATAGGGGGCCTGTAGCAGCTCTCCGGGGCAGCAAATTCTTCTTTCACAGCCTTCTTCTGATAATGGAGACGCTGTCAGCTGTCCTTCGAGTAGCTCAAAGCCGCTGATGCAGCTCCACAGCGTTGAAGAAGCGGTTCCGCAAAGACGTTGACACAATGGAGCGATCACCTCTGACGGTATTGCAGCGACGTCTCCCGGATCCATGTCTCCTGATGTAACCTCCAGTCTCTTTGAACCGTTGGTATACCCGTTGCACTCGAAATCGGCTGATTTTCAGTTGCCGAGCAACTTCAACCTGCCGTAGTCCGATTTGCAGTAGGGCTACCACTTGAGCTGCTTCTTTGTCATGGTATCCAGTTTCACTGCTTTTTTTCTTGTTGAAGCTCTTTAGGAGTGACCTCTGTGACGTCTGAATAGCGAATAACCCATCATTGACTTTTACCCCCTCGTTATATACGCGTCCGGGGTGGTACAATTAGTGAGCCTCCAAACGCGTACATCGCCACTTTTTAATCAAAGTGCTGATGATTTGTGGTATTTGATTGTCCGTAAACAAATGATTATTTTTTTGAAAGCTTATTAATTGAGCTTTTAAATGATACTAATAATGATAGGGTACAGGAAGGATCTTAGAAGTTATAATCGCTTGACACGAATTTTAAGAAAGGTGCGATTTTTTTGACGCCAAGTGTATAAGGAAAGAGCTTAAGTCACGTAGATCACCCAGCTTGGAAGGATCTTTCGTAGAATATTGTACCAGCGTTGTCTTTGATTTCGTACAATAAAATCCAATATATTATGCATGAACGTTTCATATATTTTGAATATTTTGGTACTTATAAAACCGTACCGTACCTTGGTATAAAAGAAATATGTAGATTTAGTTCTATCCATACCAAACATACGCAAAATATAGAGTAAAATGTACTGTAATGTTATACAATATCATGTTGGTAGAATTATCTAGGTATTAATTGAAATAAGCAACGAATGTGAAAGAACAGAATTTTGTTTCTATAAATATTAAAACGAAATCAGGTTTTAAGAACGTGGTATTTGGAAGAGGTATAGTTGTCACTTGTCAAGTTGCCAATTGTTATGTTTTTAAATTGTCACAGAGTAGTTCATACACATACTAATACAGCATGTTTTAAAACTAGAAACTGTTTGTTCAAAACATATTTTATAATCTATAGTAACAAATTACAAAACTTATGTTTATATTTCATGTGTCCTTTTTGGTTCACTGTTTACATATACAAATTTTAATTGCTTTGCTTTGTTCAATTCGTTTTGTATAAGTAATTTTATTATGTAGTTTTGCACGTCTTGCGCTCGCCTTACGTAATTTTTTTTCCACAGTGGTTGGCCTGGATGAGATTCCTCGAAAGCGACAAGGCCCTCCTTTTTATTTAATTATTTAAAAAAAAAGTACTATTATTAAAAAATCGTTCTAATTATTTTCTAGCATGAATTTGTTGGTTACGATTAAAGTAGTTTTTTGTTGTTAACTTTGTCAAATATTAGGTCCTTACATAATATGAAATTGGCGTTTTGTATGGGAGGAACAAAAAGTCGAATATTTTTAAATATAATATATTTAATTAATCAAAGTATGAACCATTGTTTTCTATGCACTTTTGCCATCTCATAGGTAGTTCATTGATCCTTTTACTAAAAAAAACCAGTCGGACTGGAATCAATAAAATCTGTGAAGGCGATTTGAACTGCCCCATCAGAGTTAAATTTTTTCCCTTGCAAGAAGTTGTCCAAATTTCGAAAAAAATGGTAATCTGTTAGAGCAAGGTCCGGGGAGTTCGGAGGATGTCTTAGACATTCCAATTGAAGCTCTTCTAATTTGGTAGCCGTCTGTTGTGCAGTGTGTGGTCTAGCGTTGTCGTGAAGTAGCAGTGGCGTGGAGCGATTGACCAGCCTAGTTTGTTTAGCCGCTAGCTTTTCCATCATGGTTTGCAATTGCTGACAATAGACATCAGCCGTAATAGTCTGGCCAGATTTGAGAAAACTGCAATCAACAATACCGGCACTAGTCCACCAAACGCTTACAAGTAACTTTTTTGGGGTTAATTTTCGCTTGGGGCAGGATTTGGCTGGCTGGCCAGGATCCAACCATTGCGCTGGGCGCTTCCGATTATCGTAAAGAATCCATTTTTCATCGCAGGTAATGATTCGGTTTAAAATACCTTCATTATTGTGCCGGTTCAGTAATGTAACGCAGCAGTCGACGCGCGTTTGCCGGTTTGCTTCAGTCAATTCGTGAGGTACCCATCTTTCAAGCTTTTTAATCTTCCCAATTTGCTTCAAGTGAATTAAAACAGTTTTATCACTAACACCGCAGCCTGCAGCTAACTCGGACGTGGTTTGCGATGGATCTGCTTCCACAATAGCCTTCAATACTTCATTATCAACTTGGGTCTCAGGCCGTCCACGGGGCTTGTTCTGCAGGTCGAAATTTCCAGAACGAAAACGTTGGAACCAAAAACGAACTGTGTTTTCTTTTGCAACATGACTGCCATACACATCATTCACCCTTCGAGTCGTTTCCGCAGCACAAGTGCCACGGCGTAACTCGTACTCGTAAATAATGCGATACTTTAAGTTTTCCATTTTGTAAAATGAGTGACGCAAACAGAAAAAAACTGAAGAAAAAAACAAATGAATGACGGTTATCGAAGCACAAATACATGAGTAAATAGCTGTACAAATTTGAATTTTGGAATTCCTTACTAAAGAGGAGAACATCGTGATTAAAGTGGCCAGTACGAAATACGCCAATTTCATATGTAAGGACCTAATATTTCTTTGCAACTAACACAAACGAATCTATTTAAACAGCATATACTATGACTTTAAACCATGATTATAATTATAGGTTTATTTTTATTACTTGATCTTTATTTAGTGTCTTGATTGTGGACCCGTGTAATAAGAATTTTATAGTGTAAATCCTTCAGTTATATTATTGATTAGTTTACACGATTATTTATAGTTATTAGTCACGTCAGGCCGTTGAAATACTGTCGTGCAAAAACTGTGGTTCCATGTGGTTTACCTTCTAAGATGAATTCATTAATATATAAATGTTTTTATTATTACGGAAGCACTTGCACCTACTTACTTATTCTAAATAATTGAACACTCTTAAATAAACACTGCTTTTTACTGAATTTTTTAAGTTAATAATTAGATTTTAAAGATTTTTCGCTGATAAGTACAAGATTAATATAATTTTAATTTGCGATTTATTCGTTATGTGAGTAAAAAATCCGTGGATGAACCAAAACGCTACTAAATTCAAAGTTATAAAATGAGATTTTTCAAGATCTTCTACAAAATATTCACAATTAATGTGCTAATCTTTTCGTCCCAAATAATAAAATACATAATGACGAAAATCGGTTTTATAAATAGAGGTTGGATTGTGTCCAAATGGAAGTTTAACTACACTGAGGTCAAGTTCACTAATTTTCAGTTGGAAAGCTGCATTGGAATTGATGCATAATTTATAAAGCTTTTCTACTGGACTTTTAGTTCAGTTAATTTGCATAAAAAAGTTACTTACTCCGCTAGCTCTGCGACCCATAATGCATTTTTTGGCAATTAAAAAGATGGCGGAGAGTTTATTGCCAGTTCTTCTCGTCCGTTCCACACCCATGATTTGAGAACTGGCAGTAAATGTAAAATTAGAAGCATTTCATTTGTATTTCTTTGTTGACGTTCATAAGTGTACATTGTGTTACCTAAATTAATAAATGATTTTGAATTTGAATTTTGCCTATTGGCCTCCGAAACGAGAAACTTCCAGCGCTCCTTGTCCTGTGCCACCTTCCACCAATTGCTCTGTCAATCCTGCGGTACCTAGGCCGACCTACTAGTCTTTAGCAAATTTTAAGAAATATCACAAGGGGGAGGGGGATTGTTGTAAGATATCACGAGTATTTATTTGCCCTAGTCTGCAGAATGATGGTCAACAACTTCTGGATTAGAATTCCCAGCGGTGTGTATTTTACTTCTGTACAAAGAATAAACTTAAGGAACAATTCATGTCACAAGCAACCTATAACGGACATTCTTCTCTTGAATTTGAATTTGCCTAATTTTGGTATAGAGAAACGAACAAAAAAGTTTATAATACCTCAACTCAAAACTTGTATTTCTTTTCATTTCCCGCCTAATTACTTGGGCCTCACATTTTGCGTCTGAAATTTTTATTTCTTTAGACAGGCATATGTAGGTCAGTTCTTTGGCTACTACACTTTTTTTACTTTTATATTTGAGGCATTCAAGAAATCCTAGTACCTTTTTTATATCCAAACCTGCACGAAAGCAGCAGTGGTCACCAGAATCTCTGCTATTCACATACTGTTCCTGTTTCTGATGTTTATTAAGGAGACAATGGCCCGTAATAGTCGACCTGACCGATCCATGTAATTAGTACTAATTATGCATGGAAAAATCCCCCGAGGTTCGATCGACCTGAGTTAAGAACACTACCACTGGGCTTACTCCGTTTCACATCAAAATGATATAAAATTGAAGCCATTGCGTGTTTGTAGTATATAAAATGTATTAATACTAAAACAGAATATCGTCTGCTTAGTCACGATATCCCTAGCCGCACACGTGTACGGAAAATAATATCAAAGTTAAAATAACACGGAATAGATTAATAAGGTTGAAGTCAGTAGAATATTATACTATTCGTTCAGATTTTCACCGCTGAAGACTCATTCTGGATTAGGGAATTATATTTTGACGTGGGATACTTCTGGCATTCATGCCTTCATTACCTTTCTGCCTTATTTATGAATTCTTTAAATATATACTATTAAATTAAATGTATAGTCGGTAGACAAAAATTCTAAAAGGTTGATTACTTCCTTTAAAAAAAGTCAATGTATCAAAAAATATGTATAACTATATTTGAAGAAACATCAAGAAGACTTGAGTCATACAATTAATATATATTAATTCGCGTTAATATTGTTGTTTATATAACACGTCTTAATTAATGGAGTGAATCACCTTGCACTGATATTGTTATGTCCTTCATTTTTACAAGTTCCACGTTTCGTCGCCCACATTCATACTGCCTTCTATGTTGTCCACATATGTACTTGGCTACTAAAGAAGTAATAAGTGAATACACGCAGAAATTTCATAGCAGCATCGTGTGATTTTTGTTACAGGAATAAGCGTTAATTTTTTTATAAAATTTAAAAAAAATGTGATGAATAAATCTCTGACGTGACTATATAGTTATATACACCCTGTATATTTCTACCAATTTATAAAAATGTCCAGTCTTATGAAGCTGGCACAAACCGGTAGTAATTTATAAAAAAGTTGCTGGCAAATCTATCAAATATACCAAGGGTAATTTGTAAAAATAGCAAGTGACCTTCACAAAGTTCCAGATTTATTCATCTATACCAACTATATGTATCAATATTTTTTTCGTTCTTCTTAATTATAAATGTTTGGTCTCTAAGTTTATCATAGAGAATTATCAAACAAAGAACTTCTTCTTAAACTTCGCTATGTTAAAACGTGACTCAAGTGTGAATAGTTTTAAGAATTATCAAAATATTTGTTTTAGTGGTCGTATTAGTTTAAATATTTCCTAATAAGTAAGTTGGAATATAAGAAACGTATTGTACCTTCAAAATTAGCTACTTTATGCATTTTTTTCAGATTTAAGAAAGTTAAACCAGTGTCGTTACAACCTTTTTTAGGTCTTGGCCTCAGATTTATGTATCTGTTTCGTTATCATTTGTTTCTTCTGATAAGAAAATAGGTGAGCAGCCTTCTGTGCCTGACACACGCCATCGACTTTTTGGGTTTTAAATCCAAATGCATGCCGGTTTACTAACGATGTTTTCCTTCAGCGTACCTAGTAGCGAGTGTGCGAGTGCACATAGACAGAAAGTCTATTGGTGCACTGGGGATCGAAACTACAACCATCGACCGATAGATAGGAGACGCTCGCTGAAGGCACAACATTGCTATAAAAGTTGGTAGTCATATGGGCAAAATATATTTGAAAGAAAATAAATTACTATGTCAGTAACTCGCCTAAATTCATGTTTCTAGCTTTGAGTATTCAAAGTTTTTACAAGTTCAAAGTATTTAAGTAAATTTAGATTATATTAATCTCAAATTATAGAGACGTTGATCCATTTAAAGTTACGCTTTTAGTGATGACGGATGACGAAATCACAATTACGATTTTCAGAATGGAAAAATACTCCTCATTGTTTCAGTTTGTTTTGCAATAATCCTCGACTACACAGTATTTACTTCTCTATGTTTACCTAACCAGAATATGTTATTCAATATAATATATTTATCTTTTGTATTTGTATTTACAATATAAATAGCAACCTATATTTTTAATTACGTAAGAATCTCATCAGATTGCACTACAAAAAGAGTGATAAATATCGCAGCAGTCGGAGTCGGATTGCACAATGTTTTGTTTTTCAAAATATTAATTGTCAGTCCAAAAGATAGTTATAATTCCCAAAAAAAATGTGTAGTGTGTGCAAAATGTTTTTTCAACTCTGCGCTCTAGTTTCCCTCTTAACTTTCCTAAACATATAAATTTTAATAATTCATATTATCTCTTTTCAGATCCGTTGATGAAAATAATTCGGAAAGAACATTCGTCTTAACACCTCTCACCAGAGACTACAAATTTAGAAGACACATACGTTCAATGTCGGATGTCCAAAACAGTACTCCTTACAGAATTCCTTACCGGTCTAAGAAAAACTTCTCACTTACCTACGACTCCGACACTAGGTCGAGGAGACTGCCCTACTGTCTACCAATTGAGTCGTCAGATTCTAGTGATTTCTGCGAATTACCAAAAAGAAGAATAGAATACGAGATCTTAAAGCATTCGGACTCAATGCGCATATTATAAGATCTGTGGATTTGCTGACCGCACAAATGTTACCAGCACAAGAAAGTGTTAGAAGGCTAACATGGTTATATTTTGGACTACAGGCGTAGTTCTAACTGGAATGCGAATGTTTCATTTTAATTACGTCAAGTCGTCAAGATGCCTGCGCCCTGCAAGAAAAAAAAATTCTTGATAATTTTGACAATTGACATAAAAGTCAAGCACGATGTGAATATGAAACCATAATATAGGGTATTGTTTTGTTATTTGGATCATAATATTTTTATTAATTTTCACTTGTTTTGTAGCACTGCGAGTAGAACGTTACCTATAACTTCTTTTACAAGTATATAACACGACGATCTTAGCAAAAATGCTATAAATTATAGATTTTATTATTCATATTTCTCGACGGTTATTTTCCTGAAAGGATTAACACTTAAAATCATCCGACAGATCCTTTAGTAGTTTCTCACTTTACGACTCTCTTTCGGCAAGTAACTAATAAATATCTGCTGAAACGATGAAATAGGAAAAGGTTTTTTTTAATAAAGAATTAGTAAGTAATGCTCCTCTATATAATGTTTTGTTAAATTTAACCTTTACAAATCGTTGACCTCGTAATCGATTAACGCATACAAGCTTGAAAGAGAATTTATCTATAGAACCTAAAATAGTTATCAGTTGATAAAAATCCTAATAATCTCTTCACTGGAAATAAAAGATAAGCTTTTCATTTTCTAAGTAATGTTAGATTATTCTGTAGGTTATTTGTGAATTAAAATTCTGAAAAAAAAACAAGGCGCAGGAAAAAAAATTGCATTAACACAGGCTATAGAAATACACGGCTCTACGTTGTCTTTGCTTATGGTAAACATTACAAATCATAATTTGTCTTGAAGCTGTTTATTATTGTTAAGAACAAAGCTGTTCATGCTCGACTAATTACGTTTATTGTTAAGCTTTTCTTAAACTTTTGTGTTGGTTAATGTGTCCAATTACTACTAATAACTAACCTAAGTGATTAAATGAGACTGTGATCGTGTTAGGATAATAACTGTAATTATTTAAACATAAGAAAGAATATAGTTAAGTTTATTATTAAGTATAATTTAATATGTATAAAAGGATAATATGCCATAACATGTCTTAATTTTTTTATTTGGGACTAAGAAGACTGTCTCTATAGTCTATTGTACGAAAGTTAACGCAATTCTGTAATGATATTTAATCAAATTTTAAATGTCCTACCTCGATTTAATTCGGTTAAAGGTATCATCGTTATATTATATATCATATTTATTTTTATCTTTTAAATGACGTTGAAGCACTAAAATAGTCGATTTGTGTGTGGGTCTAGTTTTTCATAGTTGATAAATTATTTATATTTATAACAGTGTATGAAAAGGTAAAATAATGCTTTCTGAAAAAGTAAATCTTTAATCAGATAAATTGAACAGTCTAATTACAATCAAACCGTTCATAAAAAGGAAAATATTGAAAATACTATAATTAATATTATATATACCTAAGTATAAAAATAAAATTAGAATAAAAACAAAACAATTTTGTGATAAATTATTTTGTTTTGAGTCTGACTGGACAATATTATGCCATAAATATTTTCATTTTATTCACGATTTATAAAAAAAGGAATATACGTATTCAACATTGTTATTAATCAAACTGTATTCACAGTATCTATGGCAGGTATTGAGATTATATTGATGCCTGACATTAGGTATCAACAGAAGCGTTGATACCTAAAATCTAACACTGACTAATTATAACTTTGAAGGTAAACGAAATTTGTGAAAATAAATCTATTTTCTAATTGAATTTGCATTTTATTTTTGGTGTATATAGCTCTTTTTTGTGGCACGCTTGCGGTGCGCAATTCAAACATTACTTATCCTTTAGGATTCAATAACGACATTTCTTTATGTTACAACTTACAAAAAATCAATATATACTATATGAAGGATTAGTATACCTATTATATATATATGACTAATACTAGGTAAATCCATGTAAATATTCACACACGTCACATACATACGTGTGATATGAAATGTGAATGGGATAATAATTATTGTTTATTCATGTTTGGCAACATCAAGAAGTTGGGAAAACAGAATATTATACCAATATACCTACCGATAAGCAACTCCCTCAAAAGTAGATTAAAAAGGACGGAAAGTTGTTTAAAATAGGTAGGTAAAATCTTGTGAATTTCTTCCTCACACGTAAAAAAATTTTTTTCGTTATAATTTTATGCTGTGCTAGAGGTACAGGCTATTGTCAATTTTAATTTTTCAAACACCTTAGTTTTATACTTGACGCTGGCTAATGCACAAACCGTGTCAGAGCCATAACGAAAAAAAAACACCTTAGTAAAAGTACTCTTTATTAAATTATTGTCTCTGGTCAAAGTTCATAACGCGCGCCAAGTGTCAGCTTATAACCATTGTTTTGTGACATTAACAATTTTGCAAGGGTTCCCATCTTATAATATAGCCCCAAACTTACTGGACAAAAAGTGCAGAAATTCTAGAGGAGAAAACTCTGTAAATGGTTGGGATGATGAAGTACTTACTTATTTATTCCTTATTTAATTATATTTATTTAAAAAGCACAATTCTATAATTAAGTAAGAAAGCTATGAATCATGTTTGATCCTTTATTAAAAATACCTGTATTCCTGCATTAACAATTAAGTAATATCTTATAGAAGCGTGCACCACGCCATCTATTGTATGATTTATTGTTTATAGGGTATTAACTTAAGTTTTAGAGGTAAGTATTGTTTAGAAAGGGTAACACTTAAATTAGACGCAGTCGGTTGGCAATCTCTAATCTGTGTCAAACCTCAATCGAATCTAAAAGTTCTGTGATTTCTGATTTTGTAAATTGTTTGTTTAAAATTTTGGGTGTCGTGGATGGCGATGGCTTTTAACTTGGCGCCTATTTTGAAAACAAATTTTATTTAAAATAATATCATATCGTTTAAGGTTAATTATTTGTCACTTAAATAAATAAGTAATATATTTATAAATTACATAGCGTTAACTAATACTTATTTTTTAAATATATATTTAATTAAATTCACTCAGGAAAAATCCATCTAAATAAGTGTAATACTCAAAATGAAGACGATAATTATATTTTTTTTATTTATATTGAAAAGTATACAAGCTGAACCATTACCAATTGTGTTGTGGCATGGAATGGGTAAGTAGTAATTATTAAGTAAATTTAAATTTTAAAATTATTATATTACATATTATATAACTACATTTAAACATTGTTAAAGATCACAAAGATTGCCTTTTTCTAGAATGTGAGACATGAATCAATAAAACTTAAAAATTTATAATTGAAAGTATGAAAATATAAAATACATATTTACATAATAATATAATTGCTTTCTTATATTTACCACCTATGTTAAGAAGCAATAAACTGATAAATGATGTATTTTCAGGAGACACATGCTGTTATTCTTTTAGCTTAGGAGCATTCAAAGCATTTCTTGAAGACCAAATACCAGGTGTTTATGTAAATTCTCTTATGATTGGTGACTCCATTATAGAAGATATGGAGAATGGTTTCTTTTTGTACCCAAATAAACAAGTTGATTATGTATGTGACAAGCTCTCTAAGGACCAACATTTACACCAGGGTTTCAACGCCATTGGATTTTCTCAGGGATCTCAGTTCTTGTAAGTTGATTTTACATCAAATATGTTGTGATTTGTGTACTAAAAAGAAAAGAATTTGCATACAGAATATTCCAATCATCTTTTGTTTTCTTCATAAGTCAAATGTTATTGTTATGATACTTAGTATATACTTATACATAATTAGTTGTATATAGTCATATGTATAGGATTACAAAGTAAATAAGATAAAAATAAAGACTGCTATTACCTAATTCCTCGACCTTCCTTACCTAAGACCTTGCATCATTTTGAAAGCATATTTCCTTTTACATTTAACTTGACAAATTAAAAACATTTATTTGCAATTATATTTTTTGTTACATAGTATACAACTAGACGGTTTGTAATTTAGAAAGCAAAAAAGCAGTGAAATTAAAAAATTTAAAATATTTACTAGGGCATAAACAATGGTATAATAGTTTTTGTGAGAAATATTCGAACTCCCAATTTTCTGAAGCGATTTTGCTGCATCTATACTTACTCACGATTCAAAGTATATTATAGTTTAGACAAAAAAATACCTCTTCATTGTCTTGATTGTTATCGGTAGGAATATGAAAAAAAGAAAATAATTAAACAGATTTAAAAACATCCATCTATTAACACGACAAACATAACCATATTCCAGCCGCGCTGTAATCCAACGATGTGGTGACAAGATACCAGCAGTGAAGAATTTCATAAGCCTCGGAGGTCAGCACCAAGGAGTGTATGGTCTACCTCATTGTGGTGCTCTCCAGCATCAGACGTGTGACTATATTAGGAAATTGCTCAACTATGGTGCTTATTACAGGTGTGTTCTTTTATACTATATCAACGTGAGTTACCACGTTTTATTAATAAATTGCCTTTTATTTCAAAGTGGAGGGGATTTGGGGTGATTTTGACGTTTTCAAGAGACTTCAAAATCGAGTAAAGAATAAATCTGGCAAGTCCATGGTTTGAAGATTCGAAAAAGTTTTCAACAGTCTAAACAGTGATACCTAGCGGGATCGAATTTGCGGTATTTGGTCGAGAACTGGTGGCAATTTGATGAAGTGCAAGTTTTAGATCAAAAAACCTAAAATCATGATGAGCACTTACCTCTTTCTTGAGAGGATGTAACCTTTCCCCTAATTGTGCGTGCGGGTGATGCGGCCCCCTAACCCCCTACACCACCAACTGTCGGGCCGCCAGCTAGTCCTATTATAATATGTCCAACTATTAATCCTGTCATACCTACTTGAATATGCTATATATGTGTTTATTTATATCTTATACTTTTGATACAGTATAATAATAACAAGCCTTTCTTTATTTTCATTTAGGTTACATCCAACGTTTCCACAACTTTTGCCGTCAGCATCCAATTTTTGCCAGCAACCCTTTTAATCTCTCTCTCTCTCTCTCTCTCTCTCTCTCTCTCTCTAATGAACCATCTTCCATCTCTAAAACGAGCTACGTGCCCATATGCTTAAATATTTTATGACATGATAAATAATTTAATTGTTGAAGTGAAACTTCTTTATCGGCGTTGGAAAAAAAATTATGTCACGTGAAGTCGTCACATTTTTCACTTCATCAATTATGTTGGGTTGTCCGTTAGGTCCTTGATCTCCTCTTTGTTGGGCCTTCTTGGCCAATCTTCCGCAGAACTTTTATTTTCAGTAATAAATAACACGAGTATCAAAAACAAAATGTCATTACTAATCGTGCTTAATCGTGCAATAATTTTTTTAAATGTAACTTTCGCCTAAACAGAAGGGACTATCATGTTCGGTTCCGTGATTTTATGTGATTTATTATCTGCGGAAAACATTTCCTACATTCTAGTCTAGAAAGAAAAGTAGGAAGTAATTTAGAAATTATGTGTTACAATGCATATTGTTACGTAAACTATTTTTCTCACTTGTACGTTATATTGTTTAATTGTACTTTTAAAATACGCGCCTGTACTTATTTAAAATCTACATTTAAATTTAACAGTGTAACAATACTGCGACGAAAGACATGGCAGGCACTGAGTGCCGCTGAGAAAAAATAACGAGAAAAGAAAAATTTCTTTATAAATTATTTTACACTTGCATTATCACAACTACATAAGTAGGGCGCCCTTATCACTTAAACTCTCTTCCTCAACTCTTCCTTATGATGATAAGGCAATAAAAAAGTATGTAAGAAGATTTAACCAACATAAGTCTTTATCTTTATTTCAAATACTAAATATAAACAAATAGATTCCAAACCCCTTCCAACTTGTTTATAGATCAAGCTTGTCTTTAAATATACACATTGAACGGTAAATATTATGATAGCAAAGGTTATCAAGACGTACATTGCTCTTGACAAGTTTAAAGCAAATATTCTTATTTGTTTTCTATGACCTTAGGGTATATATGACTCTTTGGTCTATGGATTTGACATTTTATTAACGACCGTTATTCTTAGCACTAAGTCTGTCACTCTGGGGCAGACATTAAGCGTGGACCATGACACCCGTATACTCGTATACCAATACAAATTTGAGCTAAGAGTCACGCATTATAATAATAATTTTATTTCAAGCGAAATCTCAAAGCTTTGTAAAACACAACACAAAAATACTTCTTCAATTAACGCGAAAAAACCGCCTTTCAAATACATTATTAATCTCCGATAAGAGAACCTCAAGGGATTTGTCGTCACAGCAGTGATAAATTACCTTTTTCTATGTTGGCAGTGTTACGTCATTATTGCTCGACAAGTCTTGATACTTATTGTTAAATATAATTTTAGTGAATAAATGAAAAGGCACGTAATTCTTATTTATGACTTAACTCAATCTAAAAATGACAAGTGACTATGTTATACCCAAACAAGTTTGTAGCTGAGGAATGATTTTGATGTTTTCAGTTGGCTCCAGAAGTCCTTTGTACAAGCGACGTACTGGCACGACCCGTTAAACGAAGAGGAGTACAAAAAATACAGCGAATTTTTGTCTGATATTAACAATGAAGCTACCATAAACCAGAAGTATATAGACAATTTAAATAGGATAGAACATTTTGTTATGGTCAAGTTCGATAATGACACAATTGTTCAACCCAAAGAGACTGAATGGTTCGGTTTCTATGCGCCCGGGCAGGCCAAGAAATTGATTACCTTGCAAGAATCGGATTTGTATCTTAATGTAAGTACGGTATTATAAAATTCGACGTCTGCAGTCGATGCCCGGGTACATCTTTAGTCTGTAAGGCTGCGTAGTGATTTCGTACTTGCTTAATCAAAATGAAGAAAAGAAAAAAAAATTTTTCAAAAACAATTGTTTTGATGTAATTTTTATGCTAATTCTGTAAATTTTATCAAGCATATTAAGGATTCTACTCACTAAATATCTAAAAAAATTACGTTTATATCCGTTAAAAAAGTTAACTCCCGTAAACCGAAGGCTTTGGTAAAAACCTCTAATCATCTAATACCTTAAATATTACAGTACTTAACAATATTTTTCCAGGATCGCTTGGGCCTGCAGAAAATGGATAACGCTGGAAAATTGGTATTTCTCTCAGTACCAGGCGATCACTTAAAATTCTCTGAAGATTGGTTCTTGGAAAATATTCTGACTCCGTACCTTGCTTAGATCATTCTTAAGTGTTTTTAAAGTTATACAATTTATATCTTATACTAAAATTTAAGAATCTCGAAGAGAGCTGTTATATTAATAAAATTTTTACTCCCCAAATATTCTTTTTTTAATAATTAAGTTTAGTGCCATCTAGCGTAGTTTAAAAATAAAAATATATCGAGTAAGTCCTCCTTATATCTTGTTAGATGCTAATAGATCAAAGCTGGACCCAAAGGCCAAAACTTTAAATATTGTATTACACACCATCTTTTGTCAGTCATAAAATCTTATGGATATGTATTTTAACGCCATCTCTCGAACATTTGAAGTACTGCTTACAATAGAAGTTATATACGCAGAGGTCATGCTGCACTAGAGGAGATTTATATTTAAATACTGTCACTAGATGTCCTTACCTAAATCAGTATTGTAAGAAATACTTAATCTAATTTTGTTAGACTTTTAATTAATGACCTGCTTTTTTTTTACCCGACTACAAGAAAACTAGATAGCGTTAAAAAGGTTTATTCGATATTAATGGGCGTGTTCGGCCGAAGTAAGTACTTACTAAACTTAGTAAGCCAGTAAGCATAAAAAAATTAAAGTCTTACAAGCTGACTGTAGCGCTTTTCGGCCAGGACAGACTTACTGGCTTATTAACATAACACAAAACACCGGTTTATGTCATATCCCGTACATAACCTCATAGACTGAATATAATTGACAGTACTAAATTTAGGAATATAATTTAATACCTGTGAATAGTTTCAAATGGATAATTTTATGAGAAATATTTTATTGGATATTTTATTGTCCGTTTTGTTTACATCAACAATAAGCAAAATGGCGTCGTATATTAAGCCATACTTACTGCGTTAGCACTTATTTTGTGTCCCGGCCGAAAATTTTGTAAGCATAGTAAGTGACTTACTAAATTTAGTAAGTACTTACTTCGGCCGAACACGCCCAATGTTTTGAATTGAATGAACAATTTTAAAATTTGAATTCAGAATCCGGTAGTTATTTTAGAAATTTACTTGTTATACTTTTTTAAACGCTTCCTATTTTTTGGGATATTAAGTATAGGTTGAACATTTCTTGAGATGTTTCAAGTTGCAGCAGAAATTACACTCTATTAAATAAATCTTATATTATTTCTTAGTTTCAGTGACAGCATAGATTTGTAACATATATTTATTTATTTATTAACACTTTGTTGCATATACATTAATATAGTACAATTGACATAAATTAAATAAAAAGGAGAGCAACTGGCGGCCTTATCGCTTTCGAGCGATCTCTTCCAGACCACTGTGAGAAAAGAAAAAAAAGAAAGTATTAAATTACATAAGGTAGGCAAGAAGTGCAAAAATACATGTATTACATTTAGTTGTTTAGAAAAAGAAACTAAACAGGAACAAAAAACAAACTAAACTAATAAAGAATACATGAAAAAAAAATATAATAATAAAAAGTGCACATGAATCATTATAATTTAATTTAAGATCAGTCTCATGACAGTTGGTAGGTACCTATTATTAAAGTTAGGGATACGATGTGGACAGGTAATGTTTGTACAGAAGAAATTTAAAGGAAGATAGAGAAGGAGCTAAGCGAATAGGGACGGGAAGTGAATTACATAGCCTCACTGCAGAGACCTTAAAGGATTCGCCAAGAAAGGAGGAGTTATGATTTATAAAATATAAAAATACTCATTAAACAGTTTTTGTTAACACTTCGTTGCGAAAATCAGTACAAATTATAATAATCAAATAATAAGGAGCACAACGGGCGGCCATGGCTTTTGAACGATCTCTTTTAATTCACTTTGTCCAAATTCTTCTAATTAAATAACAAAAAAAATCATATTTAAAATAAGTGGGACTAATTATGTTTTTATAAATGAGCCTTAAGGGTTATTGTAAAATGAAACTTTAATGTTAAATAGCATTTAATAATCTCGATTAAAGTCTACTCTAATAAATTAATCAAGTCTTCTCGCCTGATGTCTTTGTCTTTATCCGTTTGTGTTCTCACGTGGACATATACTCTCACATACCTATTGTGTTCGGATGAACGTTTGATGAAGGGCGCGTTCGGCCCTCGCAATTTATGTAAGGGAAATTTGACAAGACATGACATCATGCAGCGTTCAGCGATTTTAAAACTGGAATATAATCATAAATTACAGAAATTAATCTGTCTATGGATAAATCTTGCAGAGACAATTATGAATATCATTTATTCGTAATTTTTGTACCTTAGTATTTATGTAAAAATATGTATACTATACATGTATTTATTATTATATTAACACATATTTTTTTAGTTTTAATACTTAAAACATTTTTTATAAATGATACACATTTCAAAGAAGACATTGGATCGAAGAAATAATATATTGATAATAATTGATTCTAAATTCCAACACGCCAGGCGTGTGGCAACCCTGAGGTAGTGCCTTCGAATCCTGACTCTTTACCAATTTATTTCTTCGTCTTTGCACACAGTTAAAAATTGAAAAAAACCGTGTGAAAATCGACATATCTTGGAAACACTTTAAAAAAAACGAAGAAACATATGTAATTAAAGTCCAAGAGGCGCCGTAGTTAAGTGGTGCCGAATTATTATTAATTTAAAATTCTGCCTACTCCGTATTCACGAAAAAGTTCAATCAATAGTACCAAATACTTTTGTTATAACTTACTCGTATGGATTTATGCAGTCCATTCGGACAACGTTGTAGCCTAGTTCTTGGGCCTGCTTTTGAGATTTCTGAGCGAGCATTGTGGCTAAACCTTGTCTTCTGTATTCTGGCAGCACCGTCAACATTTGAATCTAAAGAAATGCAAGAATTAATAGTTTCATTGAACTATTGAAATAATTCCATCATCATAAGAATAAATAATAAATGAAAGACTTTATCTAATAAAATTCCATAACTTCATTTAAAAACACAAGGTACACATGTCAGAAGTGAAACTTCTTTGGCAATCTAAAACTTTAGATTTCCAAGACTTAGAGGGAGGGAAAAAGGAAGATATGTTAGGAATTTAATGAATGTAATGTCATTAAAATATTAAGTGACGAAAATTAATACAAATTATAAATTTATTTCTTCTATAATAAAAACACGTGGCATTTTAATTTACAATTCGTCATTTAAGATTTCAATAAATTATTTTGCATAAAATAGTAGATAATATTTCATAAATTCTCTTTACCAAATTTTAATTTTAAAAATAGAATTTCTATAAGGTAATTCACCCTTCCCACTCTCTCTCAATCGGTCTCAATCACTCTCTCCCTTTCGACATAAATGCTGCACATCTTCGTGACGTTCCGTAAAAAAATGACCCTCATGCGCCTAAAGAAGTTTTACTTCAAAAAATCCTCATGCTTTATTATTTATATATTATTATTGCTCTCAAACATCACACAAGTTACAAGGAGGTCAATCAAATACTTATAAATACAGTATGTCATAGAAAGAGTATACATGCGTGAAAATAACACGAGAACTTAAGTAGGCGCTGCGCTAACCAGATCCATGCAACTTCCTCACAATCGAGTAGCCCGCAATGTCTCAGCACACAACTCGCTACTGGACTCTTTGTATTGAAGAAGTCGCATGGGTCTGCCAAGTATCCGCGAGTATATAATGTAAATACATAATTATGTAGGAATAAAGAAAGCAATAATAATAATAGCTAATAATTAACACAGCAAAGTTTCTAAAACGACTCGGCGAGTCATTATTCATCACAGTTATATTGAAAATCCTTTAAAAAGTTAGACGTTGCAGTGGGCCACAACTATATTGGTGCGCCAATAATTTAAAAGAATGTCTCAACGGCTTATCCACCTATCAACGTCCAACTCGACACCTACAACGAACTGAAACAAGCGTCGCTGTTTCCCGAAAGAACCATAATAAAGTTTTTTTGCGATATAACCTTCATATTAATTTACCTCAAAAATCTTCGTTTCCTGAAATATATTCCATAAATTTGGCGTTTCTTGTAATTTTGCTGTGAAGTAAAGGAAATCCTTGACGTTCGGGTCCTTAAACAACAATGTTTTAACATATATTGTGACATTTTTTTTCAGATATCTAAATTAATACTATAGCTGCTAATATTCATAAAAGTTTTAGAGAAAATAGACGGCTTTACCGTTAACATTAATTTGAAATTTGGTGGCTTTATTCGTAACAATTGCTAGAATTATATTGTAATTTTTTATCGTCACAATAGAAAGAATAATGAATAATAAAAATCAGATATAAGACGTGAATACGTGAGGCTTTATGACAAGAGTGTTGGCCTAGTGGTGTCATCTCTTCAACTCTTTATCCCTGAGGTCGTAGGTTCGATCCCTGGCTGTGCACCAATGGACTTTCATTCTAGTGCGCATTTAGAATTCGCTCGAACGGTGAAGAAAAGCATGTGAGGAAACCGGCTTGCCTTAGACCCAAAAAGTCGGCGTCTGCCAGACACAGAAAGCTAATTACCTACTTGCCTATTAGATTGACAAATGATCATGAAACACATACCTACAGAAATCTGAGGCCCAGACCTGATTTATTTATTTACGTTATCACATAAATTATTTATTGTGTATAGTAATCTAAATTTGGCAATAATTAATAATATAACAATGAGGTTGTTGCCGTTAATAATGAACGTTATCTGATCAATTTGTATTTACACACAGAAAATTAATAATAATAATAAACTATAACAAAATATGGTTGTGACAAAATTGATCCATGCTTGAAAGAGTACACAGGGTAATGTAATTTTTGTGTAACATGGTGCGTGTTTAAAACAAAAGGAATATAAGTTAAGTATAAAAAAATCGTGTAAGACCGTATGCGTGTGTGAAAGAGTGAATGGGTGTCTGAGCGTGAGAGTAGAAACGTTGTGTAAAAAAAAAAACATGGCGATTAAAAAGAGTGGCGGAGAGTTTATTGCCAGTTCTACGCCCTTGATTTGAGAACTGGCACTAAATGTAAAATTAGAAGCATTAATATTATGTATTTCTTTACTGACAAGTCATAAGTGTACAATGTGTTAGCCATATGATTAAATGATTTTTGAATTTTGAATTTTTGAGTTTATTTAATAGTGTGGCTGATAGATGTTTTAGCGAGTGTGCGCTGTCTGATTTAGTTTTTGAAACCTTAAGAATCATGTCAAGACATAATTATAGTAAGGCTTCTGTAGAATTTACTTATTTTTATTTAGATATGATATAATATTGTCTGATGAATCGAATATTTTTTTATTATAAATTAATATTTTTTTGACGTTCATAAGTGTACATTGTGTTACCTATATGAACAAATGATTTAGACTTTGACTTTGACTATAAATTATGACATACCTGTCTATAAAAAGCGTAGTTTCGAAGATTTTTGGGATCCACAGGACTCAACGCAAAGTTGATACAAATCCCAGCAACAGATCCGTCTTCTGATTTCGCATAAATTGAGTTTCCTTTAAAACATTTATTTACAAAGATGTGGGTGGAGTTGAAGGGTGAAGTTCACAGGAACTTTTTTACATCTGCATTACTCATTCAGATTGATTGTAATTTATTAGTTAAAGATTTAAGTTGTGAATTAGTCGAAGTCAATTGATTTGTTTATCAACGACAAGTAACTATCTTTTCAGGGTAACCAAATTAGGGTTTCGGGGTGTACCATTCACACATATTAGATATTCTAACTACAATTAAATATAACAATATATGTTACAATAAATACCTTGTCAGCATTATATGCTATGTATAATACAGTTGTAGATCAGCCTTGCGATTCTGTAACTCACTTTTCGAACACTCACAGCGGTTTTCGCAGCGGCGGTCGCGCTCAAATTAGTCGTGAAGCAGTCATTTTACGATTTAGCATTCTAATAAGGAGGGAGCTTGTAGTTTATTGTTTATCAGAATTATTCGAAAAGTGAGTTACAGAATCGCAAGGCTGTTCAAACACGTTTCTTTAGAAAGCTTTGCAACCGTCTACACTTGTGGTCTATTGCAAACGTACGAGGATCATTTGGACTATTTCAAGATACTCTAAAACTCCGACGTGACTTCATTGATCTAGTTTATTTGTATAAAATATTTAACTTTAATATTCATACTAACCTTCTTGAAAAATGTTTCTTTCCTTGTAATCCTAGAGTTACTAGAACTATACGTACCTACGGCTTGCTTATCTGCTACTTATAATGGTCCAGTGAATAGGCTCGCTCTTACAACTTAATTAACTTAGCTAACATTGATGAAAATATCGATTTATTTTACAACAATCTTCCAACTTACCGTAACTTTGTTTATCATACTCTTAATGAGGTTTAAGTTTCTATTTAGATTTAGTTATTTATTATTATTATTTTTTATATTGTGGTTGCTTGTTAGACTTTTCCCTTAGCTTGCTTATGTTCTATATAGGAGTATGTGTGTACAATTTGTGATGTCATATTTTCTTGTATAATTTTATGCATACACGTTGTTTAAGAACATATAAATAAATAAAGTTTCTGTTCGTGATTTAGCGGCTCTATAGAAAAGTTTATCAGTTCAGTAGTTTTACGTATACCACCAGTACTTTCTGAATATAATACTTGTTTATGTGTAGTCCTCTTCCATTCATTCTTGTCCTGGCCAGGTTTTGGGCACACAACCCCAGTTTCTTAGTCTCTCTATTGCTTTTATAGATCTATGTCTACATTAAAATAATTACCTTGTTTTAATAAACCAATAATATATTCGTCGATTGCTCGATCTTCGGTAAAATTTATATGTCGTGAACGAGACAGAATATGTTCGCTTAGATAATGCTGTTTTATCAAATCCACAGCCATTTCCTGGTCTTTAGCTGTTACTTGCTGAATTATGAACGCTTCGTGCTGTAAATATAACTATAATTATGGATCTTGGCTTCAGTTTCCATCTGTTGTTTTTATTATGATTATCAGCCTTCTGTGTCTGATGCAAGCCAGATATTCTAGTTTCGTAGAGATGTCTACTTCATCGTACGCGTATTGCGCACAAAGAAAAACCTAGTAGTTCACAGCCGGGTAATTAATCCACGATCTTAGGGAGGACGCCATCATTGCTTTAACTAGTAATTCGGGTACGTTAAAGGTTATTTTAATCAAAACCACTCTTAAATCCTTACTCAGTGACGGCCATTTATACTTCATCATTATTATATCTAATAATATTGTGTATACCTAAATATTATTACTCACTTTTTCTGGTTGCAATAAATCTTTAATTCCAAAGACATTATGGCAGCTCATGTACTGATTCCAATAGAATCTATTTTTAAATGGCGCAAATAATGATCTTAAAGTACCCATTTTTCACAAACAATTTTAATAAAGTATGGGTTCAAAACTGATAATAAAAGATGTTGTCAAAAAAAGGTTATCAAGTAGAGTTGTCAGAGTGTGAAAGGAGGCATACGGCAAAGAGGAATTATTATTGTAAAACGCAAATCATTTTTTATTATTATTATCCATAAGTATATTCTTTAATTAAAAGATTTCACATTAAGTAGGTACTTAATCTTTAATAACCGTTTAACGATTTCCTTTTCATTTAAATTAAATTCTATTGACAATGGTGTACGCTTGTCATTTCATATATTTAAGTGGTTAGTAACAATATCTGAACGTTTTTAAATACTGGTATAATATTTATCAATTCTCTTGTTGTAGCTTTCACAAAACTTCTATGTTTTGGACAAGATTCGATTGATGCATCATATGACCATACAGTATTTTCAACTCTCCTAGACGACACTTTTGAAGATACAACTCCAGATGGAAGAAGATACTGGCTGGCATCGGCATTAGATGATAAACCCATCAATGAAAACGACGAGGAAAAAGATGAAAACTTAAAACTCAAAATAACCACGCTCGTGGAACAAACAATATACGATACAGAACAGAAAATAAATAGTGTAAAACCTTTAAAAGACCAACACAGAGAGCAGGCGCCTTACAAAGCAGGCTTCATATTAAGTCTAATAAAGAAATCGAAAGACGTCTTAAATGAGCTATTCAACGTGGCTATAAGGCACAAAAATGATTGGAAGGCTCTAGAACAGTTAAAAGTGTTTGAACTGATTGTTCATACAAATGTGGATACTACGAATCTGGTCAGACAACTGGTTGAGATACATATCCAACATATGAATGCCACTAATACAGGCGAAAATAGAAAGAGAGTGGTGTTATTGAAGTAATAATATTATATTGAATGTATGTAAATTGTAATGGATTAAATAAATACAATAATTTGTTCTAGTAAATGGTGGTAGAGATTTTGCGATCCATGTCAAATGACGAGTGTTGACCTTGTGGCTCGAGCGACTCTCATTTCTGAGGTTTCGTTTCTCTTCTGTTTATGCGAATTTAACACACACTCGTACGGTGAAGGAAACAATCGTAAGGAAACCAGCAGGCCTTAGACCTAAAATTTTCGACGTCATGTGTCACGCAAGGAAAGCTACGATGGAACTAGGATCACCTACTTGCCTATTAGAAAAAACAAATGATCACGAAAGAGATGCTGAAATATTAGGTCCAGACCTAGTGGTTGTAGCGCCACTGGCAAGTTCACAAAGCTGAGCTGGAGCTTTGAGTGTCTTAAGCATTCGCTCTACAAGCCGTGTCGCTGATATATTATATACAAGTAAGGGAGCGTTTGAAAGTGATCATGTGTAGGCTATCCTTCTACTTGTAGTAGAGACAAGTAGAAAGATAGCCTTCAGATAAAATAAAATAAAAATGTTTTTTTTATTATAAACAATGCATTATAATGTGTAAGATTACGGTAAATTTATTTAAGTAAACAAATACATATTATTCTGAGAAAATTAACTACTTTTGCCCGTTAATAATGGGGACCATCTCATACTAAATAAGTAGACATGTTTCGAAAACAATAACTGGCAATATCAGTGTAATCTATCAAAATTTGATTTCAATTCACTTGATGTTTAAAATGAAAAATCTGCCGAGCAATGGACTGTACGAAACTGGATCTCCTAAATGCATGTAAACTATAAATATAGATTTTCCGTACGAATAACTCTTCCCCAATTTGTATAAAAACCGTAACCAAAGCTTTGCATTTCATAAAACAAAAGAGCATAACAATGGAAAAATGGAAACTTTTTTTGGCTTTATACAATGGAGTCTAGGTGAATGTGAAATAGATATATTTTGTGAGTAGGGCTGACCGGTGGTGGATATTATCACCTGATTGGGAAAAGCCAGGTAATATTACAAGTCAAATATTATAATAATTTGTTATTAAAATACTATCAAGGATGACTTGTTAACCGTTTAAAACTAACTAATTCTCTAACAAATTTTTGTGTTTAGTCTATTGAAGTTATCAAGTTAGATTATAATTATTACATTAATCAATATATAAATTAAGTAACGTGACTGTCAACAGAAAAGCAAATGAAGTAAGCACTTAATAAAACTAAATATTACTAAACATAGAAACTCCTCCTAGAAACCATCAATGAAGTTTCAAACGACTTTTATAATAAATATGGTAAATTATATGTAGAAATTTATAAGAAATTCAAATGTTAAGTATTCGTCATGTCATAGATGTTGCAGTAGGTTGATCTATGCAATTTTTAATGTAATGTTTGATCTGAAGAAGCAGCCCTCAATTTCGGTTGAGAGTACATTAATACATGCTCTGATATTGCTAAATTGATCATTGTTTCGGCAGTTGCTTTACGAATATGAATTTCGTAGCGTAAAAATGTAAAATCTAGGTATTCCCGTTGCGTAAATTGGAGGCATTCAATGTTTTCCGGCTGTGTTCTATACAGGTAGTAATCCGATGTAAGAGAGATTTAAATATTAATTATAGTAACATTTACTGTCTGGTTTTTATTCCAATGTTTAATAAATTTTAGTAAATTGAATACTAAATGAAATTGTAGTTCGGTGCTTAGCGAACTTAGATAATTTTCTTATAAATATAAATTAAAATAGGAAGCTGGATATGTAATTTAGACATGATTTGTATAATATAAAAAGGAACTTCTTGCTTTATTCCGGGTCCCATCGTATTATATGTATAAAAGATACAATCTTAACCTTTAAACTATAATTTTAGATATTTAAGTGGATCCATTGAAATCTCATTTTACAAGATTTTAATAGATCTTTTAATAACAAAAGAATAAAGTTTTGAATATGCCTTATGTTATTAAAGCACGGGATCACTATTCGCTATTACAGAAAAATACAAGCGCTGTCTCGTATTCGAAACCCCTGATTTGAACCCCCTTTTTCATACATTATAAATCGGTCTTCTTGCACCGTTTTAACCGGCGCCTCTCATCTGTCTCTTTTTGTCACAGCGTTAACACCATTTGACGAAAGAGTACCTACTTAATAAAAGTTTTTAGAATAAGGCAGATAGCAACGTCAGGACAAGGAGAATCTGGCAACTAAAAAAGAAAACAAAACACAGCATACCGGAAAACAAAAATTACCACGTTAGACAATAACCATTAACCCAACATACTCCCCAATCTGGCTGGTCCCCGAGGGGAAAGCGACCACCACCCTCCATTAGGTACATACGACAAACGAAGAACACGACATAAAAATAAAAAAAGGCGCTCCACATCGCAATAATTAAAATTATGTACTTTCAACGTAAGATCATCAATGCATTGAGAAAAATCAAGAAAAGAAAGAAAGAGAAATGGAAAAATATGGTGGAGGCATTTACCCTAAAAGGGGCCATACAATACTTGACCACTAAAAAGAACTAACATAAATTAAATTAAATTTTTACAACTTACACAACTAATAAGAAAATATGTAAACCAACCAGTTTTTGTACGGATTCAGCCAGCCTTAATAAAATTTACCCGTCGTGGACTTTTATCATATTATATTATGTCAACAGTATAGGGGACAAGAAAACACTTTCAATACACACAGTAATAGAAGTGTAATTTAATAAGGAGCTGCTACCATTAGAGTTACTATGTCTTAGCGACGTTTCCTTTGTTAATTATCTTACATTAATTTAGTTTAATTATTCATATTCCATTATAAATTAAATAAAGTAAGTTTTTGGATATTATTTAAATTGCGTAAACATTTAAAATATATGAAAAAAGGGGAAAGTCATTTCTGTATATTGCGAATCTAGCAACAGCTATCATTTGCCATTCTATGCCATGCCGCCTAAATGCAATGCTGCGATAAAACTATCTTGATATTTGATATTTTTATCGTGTAACATTTTTACAAAATGGAAAGTTATATTCGAAGCGATCAGCAGTTTTCCAAATAATTCGAATAACACTATTCAGGCCTTGCGATTCTGTAACTCACTTTTCGAACTCTCACAGCGGTTTTCGCAGCGGCGGTCGCGCTCAAATCAGTCGTAAAGCAGTCATTTTACGATTTGGCATTCTGATAACCAATAAACAATAAGGAGGGACTTATGTGAAATGCCAGAGGGCTCGCGAGTGCGCTGGCGTCTTCTTATCTAGTTTCTTCGACTGGTAGACTATGTCTACTAAATATGTTTATGTTTCTACCATACTACTATTAACTTCTTTTTTAAACATACAATTAAGTAAATAAAATGTAAAAAGGAGCATATACGTGCACTGTCGGATTTTATTCCACGACCTGACCTTAGTTACTCCGCGTTAAACGCATTACATAAATCCATCCTAAAATTGCTTGTTTGGCCACTGTCTAAAAATGTCTAAACCTACTTGTTGAAGTGAAAACTTCTTTAGCGGCGTTGTACACTTTTTTTGGAATGGGTAAAAAATGTTAAACTCGCATCAGGACACGTGACCTAATCGAAAATTCGTAAGACGGAAGGAGAGTAGACAGCTGGCGCGGCGTATTTAATGTAATATAAATTGTCATGTTTGTGTACGATAGCGCAATAAATAAATGTTGTATTCTACCACATAAATGATAGTACTTTTATACAGATAATTAAAGCAATTCGTGCAAAATTATTCCCTAACCATTCCAAAAATGCACAAATGCACAACGTTAATGATCAAGTTTTCACTACTGCTGGCACTCCCGGAGTGCAACCCATCGTTTTTATTTTTTTTACAAGGATTTCACTTATTGTTATGTTTTGTTATAACTAAAAAATGTATTCGTTCTTTCATACATGATATCTAAAAAATTGTTACGCCATGGCTATTAAACTGTAATATTTAATCACCGGAAGGAAGGAAGAGGATAGTGATTAATTTAAATTTAAAGGCAAGGCGCTTTTATAGTGTAGGAGAGTATTTAGACCATATGTTTTAACAACATATTAA